ATACTCCATGTGATTAGTTTCAGCAGAAAAACATCTTGATCTGACTCTGAGTGCTAGGGTAGCTCTGAATATCATGATGTACCTGATAGCGTTGACATTGTCTTATGTTGAGGTCTGGTTTTCTTTTCTTTTCTTATTCTTCTTTTTCTTTCTTGTCTTACAAAAAAAGGTAGAACCTCCATCTGATAATTAAAATTACAGCAACCATGAGTAGAAACACAAAGTGTACATGTGCACACACACACACAAACACACTCTAGATACTTGAGCACTTTAGTAGATTAATTGATGTAGTTCCTATAAGAACTCCATAAAGTAAATATTGTTATTATTCCTATTTTGGAATAGCAAAGTGAGATTAAGAGAAGTTGGTGCCTTGCCAAGTGATGTATAACTACATGTGAATTCACATCTTCAGTGATCAGATTGAACAGCTCGTAAATACATGTAAATAACATGGTAGGTTGTTGTGGTATTTGTTATTTGGGTATTATTTATTATATGACACGCAGCTCAAGTGGACCATTTATGCCAGGAATGAACTTCATGGCAGGAGAAGCAGCAGGTTGACTAGTCATCTTGTGTCCACAGTCAGAAATGAGGCAGTAAACAGGAAGTCAGAATAAATTACAAACCCCAAGGCCCACCCCTTGTGACCTACTTCCTCTAACGAGCTCCATCTCCTAAGGGTTCTATAACCTTCCCATATACACCACTAATTTGAAACTAATTGTTCAAATGCATTAAATTACACATTTAAATCACAACGTTCCATCCCTTTCCCGCATAAGTTAATGGCCATCTCATGGTGCCAAATGTATTTGTTTGCAACTTCAAATGTCTACAATAGTTTGCCAGCCCTACCTTGGTGTTCAGTTTCCATGAAGAGACTCAATGACCACTGCAACGTTTATAAAGGAAAGGATTTAATTGGGGGTTGTTACAGTTTCAGAGAATTCAGTCCATTGTTATCATGGGAGGGAGCATGGCAGCATGTAGGCCTACATGGTACTGAAGACATAGCTAACATGTGCGTGTGAGTCCATGAACAGCAGAGAGAGAGAGTCAGTGGGCCTGGCTTGAACTTTCGAAACCTTGAAGCCCACCCCAGTAACACACTTCCTCAAACAAGGCCACATCTACCCCAAAAAAGCCATTATCTCCTAACCCTTCTAAGAAGTATCACTCCTTGATGACCAAGCATCCAAATGTATGAGCCTATGGGAGCCATTTTTATTTGAACCACCACAAGTTCCAACATTATTCAAAAGTCAAAAGTCTCTTCTGAGGCTCAAGGTAGTATTTTAACTGTGATACCTTGTATAATTAAAACAAATTATATGCTTCCAACCACACAGTGTCACAGAGAAAATATCCTTTCTTCAAAGAAGATCGACCTGAAACAGTACTCAAACCCAGCAATGCAAACATCAAATCCTACAGCTCCATGCTCAGTGTCTGGTGTTCTGATAGATCATCTGGGTCTACAGAACACATTGTCTCTCTCAGACTAACTTACTCCAAGCCTGCAACTTTCTCCTTGCCAATATTCCAGGGTCCTGGCATCTCCAGCATCTCTGAGTCTCTCTTGCAACAAAGGTTGAACTTCCACAAGCCTCAGGGCAGGGAATCCTACTTGTCACACAGTGCTTGGTGTCTTAGTTACTTTTCTATTGTTGCACTAAGATACTAAAACCAAAGCAACTTATAGAAGAGAATGTATATTGGGGCTTATAGTTTCCACAGGTAATCTGTGAATATCATGGCAGGGAGTGTGGCAGCAAGCAGGCAGCTATGGTGATTGAACAGTAGCCAGGAGCCTACCTTTGTTCCATGAGGCAGAACAATAACTGGGAATGGTATGGGCTTAACCCCCCAAAACTCAATGGCATACGTCCACCAAAAAGGCCGCAAAGCCTAATCCTTCCCAAAGAGTTCCAAGCATTTAAATATAAAAGCCTATGGGGCCCATTCTCATTTAAACCACCACACCTGGTTCTTAGAAACTGTGATGTAAGAATCCACAACCCTTTCAACTTATTCATGCAGTGTAAACCCAGTACAACATGGATGAAGTCACCGTGTTGGATTATCAACTTGAAGAATACCCTGCAAGCCCTGAACCACAGATTCAGTGAACTCCATGTGCCTTCCAGGTTAACCCTAGAAAACTATATAGATGGTGTTTGGGGACAGGGAACCCTTTCCATGGTATTCTCAGAGGCGCTACTTTCAAATGTAGTCATATTTTCATAAGATAGAGCCTTACATGTCTGTTGCCTAAACTTAAACTTGCCCTAAATTTTATGTTTTTCATATTTTTTGCCATCTCTCACACATGCCACATCCTGAAACACTAGCCTGTCTTGAAGTTTTCTACACAAAAGAGAGTCCATTACATTTTGGTCTAGCCACATGCAAGTTCTCAGGACCTGGGCAGAATGCAGCCACATTCTTTGTTAGACTAAAACAGGAATGGCTTCTAGGCCAGTTTATAATAGAATCTATACCCACACGCACACCAAATATCTCATGAGCCAAGCTTCCACTATCCACGTTTCTCTTGGTATTCCACTCTTCCACTGCAATGGTCCACTAATCTCTGCTTATAGTAGTTTAGGGCAAATTTTCTACATTCTTCTTACAAATTGGTTCCAAAGCCTATGAACCACATGGTCACATTCATCCCAACAATGACCCAACATGTGTATTAGTTACTTTCCCCACTGTTGTAACCTGATACATGATGAGAAGCAATATAAGCAAGCACAGCTGTATTTTGGCTTGCCTTTACCTTTCAAGGGGATCGCTCCATTGCTACAAGGAGGACATGGCAGCAGGAAAAGAAGGAATGATGGTAGTAGGAAGAGGCCTTCCTGTTACATATTATATTAAAGTCTAAGAGCAGAGAATGAACAGGAAGTGGGATCTGGCTATAAAAACTCCCATTGACTGACCTCATCCAGTGGAGCTCCATCTCCTGAATATTCCACAACATTCCTAAACCACCACCATTTGTAACAAGATCCCAATCTCAAAATCTCAATCTCTCCATCACCCCCCACCACCACACACACACGTCTTTTCTTCTTCTCTCTATCTCTCTCTGTAGAGGTAAGATCTGAAGGTTTGTTTAATTGTGAAGTTTCCTTCTTTGTTGTATCTTTTGTGAAAACCATATTTGTCTGCTAAGATAATAGGAACAGAAATAAATAGGCTTTTAATGAAGAACTCTATGATAACACATTTAAACTTTGATCTACAGCTATGGGGATCATACCATTCAAATTCCCCTATTGTGCCTACTTCATTACTGTATTAGTAGTGAAGCTAGTGTCTGTATCTTTGTTTCTGTCTGTGTGTGTTTGTGTGTGTATGTGTGTGTGTGTGTAAGAGAGACAGAGAGAGCATGCATGCATGCATGCACAAGTGTGTGTGTCTGTGTGTCTGTGCTCCCTACCTTCTTAATATTTGGCTTTCCCCAAAGTATTTTTCCAGAAAGAATGCATGCCTTGTAGCTCTCTTAAGTTTTTGGTTACTCTTATGTACTTGAGTTCTTTGTTGTACTAAGTTGTTGAAAAAGACTATTATCTTTATGATATAACCTTCCTGTTAAACCTTGTTGACTTTGAATCTTTAGAAGAGAATAAAAATCAGAAGGAGATGGAATATGAAGAATGTTCTTCCACCTGAGATATGACTATTGTGATGACTTTTTGCCTGGATATCAGGCCTTTGCTTATGGAGTAAGCTTTGAGAATATTTACACAAAGGCTATATTTTCTCTCCCCTAAACCACCCCAGTGAGATCTTCCTGGAATCATCAATATCAGAATTTGCTTGGGTTTTTTAGAGGTAAGTTCCCTAAAATTGTAGGAAACCCCTAGAAATGTGTTCACCAGGAATTGCTTGCTCTAATGCTAGCCTGCACTCAGCCTCTAGGGATTCATTAACTATCACAGAGGTGTTTATAGGACACCGAAGACTACAGAGGCTCTTTCTTACAGCCATGAAATCGTTAAGTGTGCCTCAGTAATGCACTTACCTCTCCGAATGGCCTAGAGGAGATTTACTTGGTAAATTCAGTTTCTCTAAGTCCAAGGAAAGACAGACTTCAATTTGTCCATGTCTTTGTTGTTAATTTGAGAGTGATGACTCCCGGGGTCTCTGTTTATTAAGATATAACTAGAAAGTCCTCATTCAAGCATTAAAATTAAGGCAAATTTTTCACTAGAATTTTTTTACCGGTTTGTTTCTGTGTTTTTTTTTTTTTATTTTACCAGGAGGAGGGGGTGTTGTTGTTCTTCCTTTTTTTCTTTTCAATACAATCTTCCTTTGTAGTGAAATGGTGTGTATCAGGATGCTTTGATTCCTTCCTTATTATTTTTGGTTTATCTAGTACATATTTTTGCCATTAAGCTTCCAGGAAAACATCTTTTGATTATGAAACTATTTTTGAAATATGAACCACTTAGCATGACCATAAAGAATAGGCACAAATGAGCAAGAGAAAATATACCAAACAATGCAATCTCTACCTTCTCCCATTTTGAATTATAGATTGCCCTGTTATTTTGTGTTGCCTAGCTCATCCCTCATGGTGTAGTTATTGCTTCGGAATTGTCTTTGTCCTCGAGTCTGAGTGGCTCACTCGCTGCTTATCCCTCGGTAGACCATCTTAGAGTATTTTGTGCACTTGCTTTTACTGGTGAGTTTTACAGCTTCCCATGCTTCCTTCTCGCTCATTAAATGTTTTTCTTAATGTTTCTAAGTGTTTCTTAATGTTTCGTTTGAAGGATTTCTTTTAGCTTTTGGCAACGTATTTACTTCTTCATTTCTAAGTAACAGCTTCGCCTGACGTTTAGTCACGTTGACTGTTTTTCTTCTGTATTGTGTTAACTCTCATCCTGGACATTTACCCCGAAGGGAGGAAAAACAAGAGGCCCCAAGCCCACTCCAGGCCAGGAAAGAACTTCATTCTGTTCTCATCTGTCCTCTAGTCTCCTTCTCTACTCTGTTCAGATTCAGAGACATGTTACTGCCCATCACCTTTCAAAGATGGTGGACAAACTCACGACTTGCTTCACTGTGGATATCCCTATTGTCCCAGTGGGTGGCAGCAGTGGTTGTCTCAAAGATGTTGGGGTCAGGTTTTAAAAGACCAGTATAAGAACGAACAAGAAATAAAAATAAAATAAAATTTTAACTCATCTGGATAAGAACGTGTGCTAAGTGGAAGATTTTCAAATATGCAGCTACAGTCTCCATCTTGAGGGCTCACAGTCTAAGACGGACATTTATTAATGTTTTAGTGAAACCCCATTGATCAACTTCTAGAGATGTGTAGATGGGAAGCTAGATCTCTTTACTAAGAATGCAATCAGGCATGGTTTGGAAAACAATCTTTATTGCATCTGATTATGTGTTCAACTGAGAGTTGGTTCTTTCATCTTCCTTTATGCTAGCAGCATTCCGTCCACTTCCACTGCTCTCTTGATGGCCAGCTCTTCTTCCTGGGATGGAGAAAATAAGTACGGTAGAACGAGAAAGATAGACATGCAATGACTGCTGCCCTTTCCTTTTATCTTAACTCCACAGTCATGCACATACCACAGTGAGTTCATTTCCAGCTCCACTGAAGCAAACAGTTCGAGAACATGCGCAGGTTTCTTGAGACCTCACTTCCATGTGGTTCCTTTTCTCCCCTCTACTTTTGCATTTTCCCCACAGGACTGTTATGCCCATGGGCCAACGAGCTCTCAGCTCACTTAAGACCCAAACCTCTGATCCAACTGGGTCCCTATCTTCTCTCCAGGCCACTCATATTCCCTGAGGTTGTGCTGAGCGATGTGCCTAGAGGGACAGCCCTATTTCCCCTTAAAGTAGAGGACTATCATGTAGGAACAGAAAAAGTTCCCAGTCAAAGCTCTCCAATTTCTCACTTAATAAAAGTCAGTTTCCCTAGGAGAACTGGGTGTGCCTCCAAACAGCCAATCACAGCCCCGCTCTTTGTTCTAGAAGCTCCCTGTCCTATGAGGTTTCTATTCCTGTGGGCCTTACCTCTCCCAAGAGAAGGCCACCCCATCTTCCAGGATCCTCTAGCCCAAGAATATTAGTTGCTGCATGGAAACAAAATAGGGATACTTCTTAAGGAGGAAAGATGCTCTCTGCCGGCCCTTAGAAATGATCTGAACTTCCTGCGGTAGCTGGAAAGCTTGGGACAAATCGCAACTTACAGTAATGTAAGATTCCTGGGCCAGAAGCAGAGGGCCTGTTTAATTCCCATCATTCCCAGAGCTGACAAGCTCCCCTCTCTTCCTGACGGAGATGCAAGCCTGCATTGGAGGGACAGATTACTCAGCAGGACCCAGCCCTTGCTCACTTCTGTCCTTTTGGAGAATCAAACATACAGCCTGGACACTGACTCCAGGGTTTCTTCGCACCGTCTTCCTCGGTGGGCTGCTGCTCCACAGCCTTCTCATCCCTGTGTTCCTCTTCCTTCTCGTTGTTGTCCTGTTGCTGCTGCCCGGCGTGCCCTGAATTCACATTGCCAATTATCTGGGACATAACGAGATGGAAGACGTGGCAGCTGAAGCCCTCCTGGAACCCATTCTGCACATGCTGCTGGAGGCAATCTAAGGTAGAATAGACTCGGCAGCAGGCCATGCACTTGTAGCCATTCTCGATGGTCACCAGTGAGTCAGGCGTCTTGGCCCTGGGTCTCTCTTCAACCGTGGGTGACTCTGGCGGGCTATCTAATTCTAGCCTTTCTTCGTGTTCTTTCTCTTCGCCACTTTGTTCACTGTCCGACAGGAGGTTTCTGGTGGACACATCAGAGGATGGAGCACCTATCCACACACTCTCAGGAAGGGTGGCTTCTTCCATCCTTGGATGCTTTTCTAGGGACTCTGAGGTTTCGCTTGTGTCCCAGGAGATAGCCACACCTTTTATCGCGTGCACCCGCATGTAGTATACGTTCATCCTTCCATCTTTGTTCATACACGGAGAGCACGCACAAGTCTTATATGAGGGATAGGATGAGGAGACAGATTGTGAGGTAGCATCCATCGCCTCTCCTTCTGCAACCTGGGCTCGTGATGATCCAGGTTTGGAACTGTCTTGTAATTTCTGGGTTCCTGGCAAGTGAAATCAGAAATATCAGGGCATTTTCAGAGAGAAAGTTGAGGGCACATGAGTGAGAATATACGTGACAGGAGAAGAGAGGCCTTTGGGTGAGACAATTGAATGATGAGCTTTGGTATTTACTGTTTGCTTTCTAGGGTGGGCGTATGCTGTGGTTTTTTATGTACAGGGATATTAGCAGATGGTGTGTACTCAGGAATGTGGAGTATGAGAGTGAGAAATAAAGACTGTATGAAGTGGAGGTAGAACATGTATGTGGTGAGGATGGGATCTTAGGACCTCATTGCTATAGTATTTGTGCAATGTGGGCTATGGTGTCCAAGGTCGGCATGGTGTATCATGTGTCATACATTTTCATGTTGTATCTGGACTGAGAATACACATATCTGAGTGGAGTATGGCTGTGTGTGAAGTCGGTGAGTCTGTGCTAGGCAGTCCCCCTGCACAAATGTCTATGCTAAGCAAGTATTCAGAACTCTGAACACAATTCAAAGGCAGAAGCCACACAATTCTTCTAAAGGTGCTTGTCTGGTTCCTTAGTCTGCTGCCCCAAGACCCAACCCTTCTATCCACCCTTCATGACTTCTCGTCATTGTGAAGCCACGGCTCAGGATCTCCCACACCAAGATCCAAGTCCTTTAGGAGCTCTGAATCCTATCTAGGCTCCTCTACAGAACCCTGAATGCACCCCCAGCTTCCCTGGGCTTCGTCTCAATCTTATCCTTGAATCTATATGCCTTCGGCACTGCACCCTGAGCCCATACCCAAAGAGTTTTACCCAAGAAGCCCCATACCCAAAGCGTGTCACACCCAAGGAGCTTCGCACCATTACTACGATGGATGAGCTTAGGTGGAGAAGAAACACAGGAGAAGTATTTGGAGGCAGAGGAGACCTCCCCTACCCCTGGGTTCTGGGCTTCAGCCACTCCAGTAGATTCAGGCTGAGGGACATCGTCTTGTGATTTTGAAATTTCTGAGAAAGGTATAAGAGACAAAAAAGATACGGTGGTTGGCCATGTTTGCATGTCATTTACTTATCCAGCAAATAATTACTGGTGTCTGACAGAATTAGCAATTAAGATTAAGACACATAGTAGAAATCTAACCCGAATGGATATATTCTAGTACTTAATCACAGCCATAAATTATTTTATTAGTGTCTTCATGAAAAATGTAAGAATAGAGGCTGGAGAGTTTGCTCAGTTGAGGGGACTGGGTACTTGTGCAGAGGCCTTGGGTTTGATTCCCAGTGCCCACATCTTAACTCACAACTGTCTGTAACTCTAGTCCTAGAGGATCCAATACCCTCTTCAGGCTTCTGCAGGCATTATGCATGCACATGCTGTATAGATATTCATGCAGTAGAAAACAACAAAAACATAAAAAAAATCTTAAAAAATAAATAAATAGAAGTATAACAGTGATGTGTATAAGGCAACCTTTAATAAATGTGAGTAAATATGGGTAAAAGCAGTAGAAATATGGTCTCTATCTAGAGAATCAGCAGTTAGGAAATACATAGCCTTTTTGTGAGGCCTATATCTGTTAAGTATGTTTCATTCACTGAAACAATATTTAATAAATAGCTATTATGTATGAAACACTTTCCTAAGTTTCCATCTTTGAACTAGACTTTCCATTTTAATCTTGAAGGGCAGGCACTGATCAGAAATAAGTAAATATATACGAGGTCAGTGTATGGTAAGTATATAAGGTTTACCAGATGTAGAAAACAAAAATGTCTGATATTCAATTAAATTAGAATTTCAAGTAAGTCACAGACAGATTTTTTAGAGTAAATATGTTCTATATAGTATTTAATAAACATTCATACTAAACAAATATTTGTAACTTATTTGAAATTCAAATTTAAGTAAAGTTTATATTTTGTTTGGCAATCCTAATAAAAGGTACAGATGATTCTGTGTTTTATTGTGATTTGCACAAGGCTTGCCTGTTATTATTACATGTGTAGGGTTCCTCATATGTGACATACTATTATACTTTTATGTGTCTCTCTCTCATGCGCACACACATAGAGAGAGAAAATAAAATTTAGTGTGTGAAGACAAGACTGTCACATACACAGGGTGTGTGAACGAGAGGTAAAGGGATGGTGTGTTTATATAGCTATGTTTCTCAAAGTGTAGAAGTAAGGGACATCTTTCTGCATCAGAGCACACAGGGGAAATGTGTGGCGATCTCACTGAAGACCCTTGTGAGAGCTTTTATGTGTTACTGCATATATGGAGTTTCAGGCAAGAACAAAATAACTTTACCTTACACACCTCATAGTTAGTAACTCTTTGACCCTCACACCTACTACTTCTCCTCCCAATAAGGATACCGAGGCAAAACAGTTCTAAAATATAAGGGGAAAGGGGGGGGTCAAAACCATTGCTTCACTTTCCTGTAACTGCCAGTGGGAACTTGACAGGGCTTCGAGCCACTGTTCTCTGGGCTCAGCCCACAGTCTTCAGATCCCAGGGCCCAGGAAAGCTGTGGGGTTCTCCTGTGGGCAAAAGTCTCCATCTGAGCAGTTAGGTAGGGCTCCATTCTGCCCCACTTCCTACACTTGACAACCCTTTTACAGCAAGCACTTATTGTTCAATTGTGCATTTATTTTTATTTTACGTCTCTGAGAGTTTTCCCTGCATGTATGTATGCACACCATTTAAATGCCTGGTGCCTGAGGAGTTCAGAAAAGGGCATCTGCTCCCCTGGAACTAGAGTTACCAGTGGTGGTGGTGAGCCACTCTGTGGGTTCTGGGAATGGAACCCACATCCTCTTGCAAGAGTAGTAAGTCCTTAACCACTGAGCCATCTCTCCAGCCCACACGCCATGTTTTTACTTGTGGTCATTGCACTTATCATGCATCCTAGGATACAAGGCAGCAACTGCCAGTGTCATCTAGAGTCCGAGAACGCTGGTGAGTTTTACCCCACCTGTTATGACCTTGGTCTCTTATCAGACTCTTTCCTTTCTTTGCTGTTCCTCTGGAAAGTCTAAAACC